TGAGTTTCTGATGGGTTGTGGGAGTGAGTTCCCGAGAGCGGGGGCAGCTGTGGCGACGGCTCGGTCCCCTAAGGTTTGGTGTTTAGTCCTGGGGCTCAGTTGGTAGAGCATTGGCCTTTGAGCCTGAAGGTCGTGGGTTCGAGCCCACCATGAGACCTACTCCACCGACTCCCACTGATGACTGCTGTCGTTGTGTCCTTGGGCAAGACACTTGGCCTGAAGCCTCCGCTGAAAGATCAAAGCTATGACATAGAGCGGCCATCCTCCTGTGGACTCACCACCTGCAGGAGGATCAGTGAGGGGCTGGTGCTATGTGTACTCGGGCAAGGCAGCTCTGGCCACCCCCCCGACCTAGAAATGGATTAAGGGGTAGAAAATGGATGGAGGGAGCGAGAAGGTTGGAGTTTGTGGATCTGCCACGGGTGGGACAGTGATGATGGAGGAGGTCAGTGAGGTAAGAAGGAGCCCTTAAAATTATATTCAATTATTACCTACAGTGTAACTTGCAGCATTGATGGTACAGTAATGGTGTACCAAGCCATGTTTTACATCATGTATTTTCTCAGGAAAACAACCAAATGTAATGTATTCTAAAGATTTTACCCAACACATCATTAGAAGTTACACATGTCAAAATGTAAACAAAATTATAAGAAAAGGAAATCCCTTCAATTCTTTTGGCCCTGACCAGTTCCCAGCCTTGTTATTCGACCCTGACCTAAATGAGTTTGACACCCCGGTCTAATTCATGTCTACACTACTGCCGTGTATAGAAATCTGTGACACAATCAAAAACAAGTGTATAGTTAGGGACTGGATTCCAAAGGTTTTATAGCGTGACTTGTGATGGTAGATAATTCTGTTCAAAATGGCAGGACATATAAGCCCCGCCTCCTCATAGTGTCCTTAGTTTATTGTAAGCAGCCACAAATTGTAATGTAAGGAATAGGCATTTTTACATTTTAACGTATGCATAGACTTAGGGATAGACAGAAATTCTGACCATTGAAGCCTGATCTTGTGAATATGAGATATGAGAACTATTGCCCAAAAAGTTAAAAACAGAATTAAATTGTTTGACCCATTAGAGCAGGGGAGTCCAAACTAATGGCCGTTGAGACATTAAATGTGGCCCTCTGCCGCTAACAAAGACTCCAATGAGATACTTTCACAGCGCCGTTCAGCCAACTTCAGCTCCACCACGAGTCACGCTATAACACATTGTAGAGCTTAGAAATTAACTTGTATTAAAAATTAAACATAATTTGGTCGGTATATAAGCTATACTGTTTATATATTTTCTGTTTATTGTTTTTGATTGTGTCACAGAATACCATATATGGCAGTAATGATCATACCCAATTTTAAAGCCTAAAACAGTCCAAATCCAGTCAAAACTGTTTTAAATTCTGTGTCGTTGGCCCTTGGAGAAGTCTGGCCGACTAAAGTGACCTTCTGCCTATAAGGTTTGGACACCCCTGCACTAGAGTAAAAGTACAATGTTGTGAACAGATCTGACCACAACATGCTGTCTCCACCTTTTGAGAAAACATTTTATATTTCGTATTTGTTTTGCTTTTGGCACTTTTTCACACAAAAAGCTGATCTAAAGATGTGGCAGAAGGGAAAAATACATGCATCTGAAAACTATTGATACATACAGTACAACCAAACTGTTTAGAGAGCCAGGAGCTAACATTGTCAGATAGCTTTTATTACAGATTTACATTTCTGTGCTTTGAAAGTTAGGTACCCCAGCTTTAAAGAGGAGAGATTATTGTGCCATCTAGTTTAAATTCTATTGAACCGAGATGAGACGGACTGAGACTCCTAAGCAGATAGTAATCCAGATTCATCTAGAGCTACATTTGATCAGGGTTACAGAACCATGATCCATTTTGTGCATCTTTTGGATCGACAGATGGTGTTGTTAAAGTCGGCGCCTATTGAGATGGGACTCGACATGGATTCATCACTGTTAATGTCAATAGATGGATAGACATCTGACAGACAGACACACACAGACAGACAGACACAGACGCAGACAGACCGAGGGGGAGACAGACACACACATGCAGAGAGAGGGGTAGGCAGACAGACACACATAGATAGACACACACACACACACACATAGACGCACACAGACAGAGGGGAAGACAGACAGACAGACACAAACAGAGGGGAAGACAGACAGACACGCACACACACAGACACACACAGACAGAGGGGGAGACAGACCGGCACAGACACACACACACACACAGACACACACACATATAGATACACACATAGACACACACATACAGAGGGGGAGACAGACACACACACGCACACATACACAGACAGACAGACATAAACACACACAGACATACAGACAGACAGACCGACACAGACACACATAGACTCACACAGAGACATACACAAAGACAGAGGGGCAGACAAACCGACACAGACACACACACACACACACACACACACAGAGATAGACACACACACAGATAGATAGACATACTGTATATTAGACATTTCTAATTCATGTAAAAACCCACTTTCTGAGCCTGAAATAACCCCATTAGATAAAGTTTGCCCCCCTCTGCTGCGTCTCTCTAAATACATCTCTCCACTTGAGACAGACACAGAGCAAGAGCAGGCACAGTTTTAGAGTCTATAAAGTTTATGATCTGATGTGGAGAATTGCCTTCCTAAACAAGTCTCCCACCCAGCGCCTTCCCAAATCCCGAACACTGATTCTGTAATGAAGCGTAAGATGTTAATTGTCAGTTTCTCAGCTCGATAACAACTTCCAATATTTACTCTGGGCTCCGAACGTGGAGGTTTCACGTAACAATATTCCTGTCAAACATCCCGGCTAAATAAGGAAGTGCTTAGACAGGTGTGCTGGTCACAAACAACACAACTTGTTCAGTAAGTAATCTTTATTTTATTTATATACCGCCTTTTCACTGCAGATCTGAGTCTCAAAGCAGTTTACAATTGTTAATTTTGGGCATTTGTCTCTCACTCCACACAGAGATGGGAGCGGGGCCAGTACAGGAGGCACATGCCAGACATGCCTATTGGACATATTTTTAGTGGTAGGGGAAACCGGAGTACCCGGAGGAAACCTACGCAGACACAGGGAGAACATGCAAACTCCACTCAGAAAGGCCCTGGTCCGACCGGGATTCGAACCCAGGACCTTCTTGCTGAGAGGCGAGAGTGCTATCCACTCAGCCACCGTGCCGCCGTCTTCAGTTTGAAGACGGGAGGATGCCTAATTTTGCGCAACATAACAGGTAATTGATTGTGGTTTAGAAGGAAAAGCGAGTGCAAGCAAAAAAAACGACAGTGTGTAGTGTCTATAGTGAAGGCTGCTTATTCCGACAGACACACACAGGCACACACACAGACACATACACACTCAGACACAGACAGACACACACTCAGATGCAGACAGATACAGACAGACAGACAGAGACATACAAACAAACACAAAATAGACACACACAGACACTCAGATGCAGACAGACACAGGCAGACACGCACACAGACAGAGACACACAGAATGACACACACAGACACACTTAGACGAAGACAGATACAGACAGACACACACAAACAGACAGACAGAGACACACAGAATGACACACACAGACAGACCCAGACAGACACACAGACACAGACTGACACTCCCCAACACAGACACATACACACTCAGACACAGACAGACACACACTCAGATGCAGACAGATACAGACAGACAGACAGAGACATACAAACAAACACAAAATAGACACACACAGACACACTCAGATGCAGACAGACACAGGCAGACACGCACACAGACAGAGACACACAGAATGACACACACAGACACACTTAGACGAAGACAGATACAGACAGACACACACAAACAGACAGACAGAGACACACAGAATGACACACTCAGACAGACCCAGACAGACACACAGACACAGACTGACACTCCCCAACACAGACAGACCCACACAAACACAAAACAGTCACAGACAGACAGACACACTCAGATGCAGACAGACACGCACAGACACAGACAGACACACTCAGACACAGACTGACACTCCCCAACACAGACAGACACACACAGACACACTCAGACAGACAGACACACTCGGTTGCAGACAGATACAGACAGACACAGACAGACAGAGACACACAGAATGACACAGACACACACAGACACAGACTGACACTCCCCAACACAGACAGACACACACAAACACAAAACAGACACACTCAAACCCAGACAGAGACAGGCAGACACCCACAGACACAGACAGAGACACACACAGACACACTCAGACGCAGACAGATACAGACAGACACACACAGACAGACAGAGACACACAGAATGACACAGACAGACACACTCAGACGCAGACAGACACGCACTGGCACAGACAAACAGACACACACAGACAGACACAGACTGACACACACAGAATAGACAGACACACACAGACACTCACAAATACACACAGAACACAACTTGTTCAGTTTGAAGACGGGAGGATGCCTGTTATGCGTCACATCGCAGGTAATTGATTGTGGTTTAGAAGGAAAAACAATTGTTTAAGCTGTAACTACGGCGGTGTGTGGCGTCTATAGTGAAGGCTGCTTATTCCGCCCAGAGATGAGAACGTATTTAAACAGTGTGAAAAAGACTAAACCAACATAAAGTGTTCTAAAATGTGTCACAAAATTAGCACTGTTTCAAAATTAGAACTAACACCTCACTGGGTTGGAGATCCAGAGCAGGCAAATACACTAATGAGTTGAATGAGAATGGATTTAGCAAAGTTATTTTCATTTGAGTGCGTTTGAGTAAATGCTATGATCATCCTTTTATGCACTGGGCGTCGATATTGCGTAATCTTAAATTAAATCTTGTTTGGTGCCGGAAATGCATTGTATACATCATGTCAGGAGACGACCGTAAAAACTCTTGGCAGACGAAAGCCATGCCTTTTGGAGCAGAAATAGCCAACCATAAAAGCGGCAAATTCTTCCAAAACCTGTTTCTAAACTGTGCTCGCAAGACTCTGTGTGGTGTGAATCAATATGGACAAGAAATCAAACCTCATTCTAAGTCCAGAACAGGCTAAATTTGGTCAAAAGGGTTTTCAAATGTCTGTGGTCAGTCCTTGGACGATTTAAGCATAAAATCATTCACATATTTAGCAATCAATAAAAATCTCAATCCACTTTTGTTTTTAGTTGTACGTGGCTCGATAATCAAAGTGAAGTCGATGAATCCACCAATGGCCATAATGACAGCCCTATAGTAAACACACCATGCAAATTTTTAAAGGTAATTGATTGAAACAAAATGAACCAATGCAAGATCATTGACATCTCAGTAGAAATGCACACAGCGTGTAGTCCCCACAGCTGGAAAAGTAATGAAACAGTTCTCCTTTAAAGTTATATTAAAGCATATGGTCCAATTACATGGTGAAATAATTTTGTAGTTGGAAATACAAAAGTTAGAAGTCCTCAATAAGGAGCGACAGTCTGATGTAATTTAATGCAGCAGGAATCTGAATCTGAACAAAACAAAACAAACTCAGAATCAACACGTACATAGATTTTCACACATGAGTTTGTGGAAAGAGGCGAGAGCAACTTGAGAATAAGTCCGCTTTTTGTCATTATTTTGATTGACAGGAGAGTTAAGTTTAAAAGAATTGTTTTTACTAATTCTGCAGCAGATACATGTTTAGTGGGTGTTCTCTGTTCGCAGGTATCTTGGCCTGGAGCACATCTCTGCACCAGGAGACCCCAGTCCCAGAAGAGTCCCATCTCCACCTCACACACACTCGCTGCTCTCACTGAGGACTGTAAGGAGGAGAGCTGAGTGTGGGGATGATCACCAGGGGCCAGGGTCTGGACTGGTGTCCTCCAGCTGCTGTTCTTCCCAATTAGGACGTCCATCTGCTGCTGTCTCAGCTGCAGAGGACACGCCTTCTCCCCCTCCCCGTCCTGTGGCACGATACAGGTGTGTCTGTGCAGCAGGGAGCGTTCAAGACACAACAATAATAATAATAATGATAATAATAGTAAGAGTGGTAATAAGAATAAGTATAAGAATTGTGACACCTGTAAAGTGTTTTTGTGGCTTGTTGAAGTCTTCCAAAGTGCTACACTGAGGTCAACACTCTCACCAGATTTATACTGCTGCATGTTTGAGGTGCTGGGGGAAACTGGAGCGCCCGGAGGAAACACAAAGAGACGAGGAGAAATATGAAGTACTCCACACAGTACGGCGCACTTATTCCTTACCACTATTTGAATATAACAATATCATGCAGATCTAGTCCCATTATGGCAGCAGGCTCTGAAGGGGAACACCTCCATGTGGATGTTCATTTGCTTTACTTGTGGAATGCTGTTTAGTTTAGTTTAGTTTATTTATTTATTTGAGCAGTTCAAGTTCTGCTCAAAAGGAGTGGGCCGAAGCAAAAGCTTATGAGCGCCCACCCCCAAAATCATTACAATAAAAAAAAAAAATCACAATAGTACAAAGGAACATTTTACAAGTAGCAAAGTACAAGAGCAAAATAGTACAAAGTACAAAATATACTGTACACAGGAGAGTTTATCTGTGATTTATTTCTAATTCTGTGTAACTGCTAATTATGTTAGATTTGATTTTTTTTTTGAAAGCGTTTAACGATGTTGAGTTTTTTAAGGTGTCATTCAGACTATTCCATATATTTACTCCTCTGACTGAAACACATCTGGCTTTGGTGTTTGTTCCAAATATATTTTTCTGATAAATATGAGTTCCTCTTAGATTATAGCCAGTCTCTCTGGGTTTGAACCTTTCTTGAATACATTCAGGAAGCTTATGGTTATGAACCTTATACATAACAATAGCTGTGCTAAGATCAACTAAATCATTTAGTTTTAGTATTCTTAATTTTATGAACAAGGGATTTGTTGGGGCATAATAATCTGCATAATTGACTATTCTGACCGCTTTTTTTTGCAGTATAAAAATAGGTTGGATTGTACTTTTATAATTATTCCCCCAAAGTTCCACACCATAATTTAGATATGGAAGAATGAGAGCATTGTATAATAAGTGGAGTGATTTTTGGTTTACAACTGCCTTGATTTTACACAATATGCCAATTATTTTTGACACTTTAGATTTCACAAAATTTACATGCACTTTCCAATTTAGTCTTTCATCAACATGCACTCCCAAAAATTTTGTATGACACACCCTCTCGATTTCCCTTTGGTCGATGTTTAGTTTTATTGAATTATCAATTTTCTTATTACCGAATATAATATATTTTGTTTTATTCACATTCATTGATAATTTATTGTAGTCAAACCATCGTTTTAGTAATTCTAGTTCATTTTCAACTGTATGCATTAACTGTTCAATATTTTGTCCAGAACAATAGAGGCTGGTGTCATCAGCAAACAGAATGCACTGCATGTTCTTAAGGACTTGCCAGATGTCATTAATGTACATAATGAATAATTTTGGCCCAAGAACAGACCCCTGCGGGACACCGTGAGTTATGGTGTGTTTTTCAGAACTAACATTACTAATTTGTACATATTGCTGCCTCCCACTTAGATAACTTTTTAACCATTCATATGCGACTCCTCTGAAGCCATATCTTTGCATTTTTGATAAAAGTAATTGATGATTAATCGTGTCAAAGGCCTTACTTAGATCTATAAAGACACCGACTGTATTTTCTCCATTGTCTGTTGCCGTTGAAATTTCCTCCACCAGATCCATGACTGCCATAGAGGTCGACCTATTTGCCCTAAAGCCAAACTGCCGGTCGTAAATGATATTGTGCTTATTTAAAAATTCATTCATTCTCGTGTCAAACAGCTTTCCTAGGATTTTGGAGAATTGGGAAAGTAAAGAAATTGGTCTGTAGTTTGTAAATTTGTGTTTGTCTCCACTTTTGAAAATAGGTATTACTTTTGAAATTTTCATTGCAGTTGGAAAGATGCCAGTGAGAAAAGACTGATTAAAGATATGTGTTAAAGGTATAACAATGCTAGCTATAATCTCCTTTACCAGCATCATATCAAAATCAAAACTGTCAGTGGACCTCTTACTCTTAAATGTATTCACAATATTTATAATTTCATTGTCATCTACACTTCTAATAAAAAATGAATTTAAGTTACTTTCGATATTACTTATGTCCACTTCCATAGTTTCTGGTGGTGGAACAATTTCTTGGGCTAGAGTGGGTCCAACATTGACAAAGAATTGATTAAATGCATTTACAATTTCTGTATTTTTATCCATAATTTTTCCATCTTTAACATAATATTTGGGATAATCAGCTTTTTTGTTTTTGTTTTTAAGTATACCATTTAGAACTTTCCAAGTACCTTGTGTATTATCTTTCTGTTTCTCTAGTAGTTCATTATTATATATTTTTTGGCTTGATCTTATTATGTTGGTTAATTTATTTTTATATTTTTTATATCTTTCTTCAGCTTCTCTAGATCGTGATTTTAGAAATAATTTATAATAATATTTCTTCTTTTTGCACGCATTAGCTATACCTTTAGTAATCCACGGTTTGTTTTGGTTGTTTGATTCTTTAATAATATGTTTCTTTGGTGGGCAGTGTTTGTCATAAAGACTTATCAGTTTGGTTAAGAAGATGTCATAGGCCTGGTCAGGATTAGATGTGGAATAGACCTCACTCCACGTCAGACTGGATAGGTCAGCCCTTAAGGCAGCCATGGCTTCAGGAGTTCTATGTCTCACCATTTTATATGTTAGTGATTGGGATGTACTTGATATATCATACCTACTGAGTAGCTTATGAAAAATACTGAACACTGGAAGATGATCGGTAATATCGTTTATGAGTAAGCCAGCAGTGGTTTGTGTTTGAAAACTATTGGTAAATATGTTATCTATTAATGTTGCTGTTTCGACTGTAAGTCTTGTGGGTTTGGTGATTAGTGGGAATAGATTATTGCTATACATAGTCATAGTGAACTCATTTGTTTGCATACTATTATGAGGGTTTAAGAGATTTATATTAAAATCACCACAGACAATATGTGTCTTTTTTATGTTATTGAATAATCTATCCATAATTTGATTAAATGTATCAATACATGATCCTGGTGTCCTGTACACACAACTAACAACAACATTTTTGGATTGTTTTACTTCGATTTCCACGGTTATGCACTCTATAACTCCATCAATTGTGAATGACTTACTATTAACAAGGTTACCTCTCAGATCCATGTCCACATATAGTGCCACGCCACCACCTTTTTTATTAGTCCTATTGATGGTAAAGAGCTCATATCCTTCTAATTCTACTTCAGTTGCTTTATCTGTATCTAACCATGTCTCTGACATTGCTATAACTTTAAATTTATTAAGTTTACTAAGATATTCTTTGATACTATCATAATTTTTGTACAGGCTCCTACTGTTGAAATGAATTACACTTAATGCTCCATCCATATCAACAAGATTAAATGTTCATCAGAGTAATACTTGCAGTCCTTTATTATGTCATTATAAAAGTGATTATCTGGATCTATGTTTTCGCCAAACTCATTTGTTTTATAGTTCAGAGTATCAAGTAAATTTAAGTTCATATGTTCGATGTGTTTTTCCAATTCATTTCTATCTAAATTATCCGTATATTCTTGTTCATTCTCAGCTTCATCTCTGGATACTACTGACAATTCACACTCCTCATCAGCCATCTGATCTATATTTGACATTATATAGATTAAACGTTTCCTTGCAACTGTACATACACATACACACGCATTCGCCCACACAAACACTCACACGCCCAAGCACACGTGCATACACTCGTAGAGAGAGAAAAAAATGGAAAAAAGAAAGAAAAAAGAAAAATATATAATAATAATAAATAAAAAATGACTTGAATCCGTGACCACAGCAAGCACAATTGTTAGTATAATTTAACCAAAAATGTAATCTTGATGTAAAAGAAATGCTCCTGTCCTGTTTAACACAATCCATTGTTTCCAATAAAGGTGTTAAAGTCACTGTCCTTTTACTCCGTCCAACTTCCAAAAAGTAAATCCATGGATTACTAAATATTATCCGCGCATAGTCCACGTGAAATAGGTATTGAATCCATTTCCACGCGTAGTCAAAAAGCAAATAAATAATCCAACGTCCCACATGCTCAAAGTTTAACTGTTGCGCGTGAACTGCATAATCACCACTCCAGTGAGAGACAGTAAGGTCCATTCGTTTGTCCCTTCTAACGAAAAACAAAAAATATCATGACCTCCATAACACATAACGAGCGGGATTTGGAAAAGAATCCAAGTAGTTTAGGTGCAGACAATTTAGCGATATGGATCAAGGTCCTTGAGTTCTCTTACCATGATTACTTTAGCCTGCTCCGGAGTAGTCCCCTTTAGTTGAATAAGCACCTTACAGTTCCTCGTCCACGTTGCTTTGATTTTGTCATTTCTTCTTAGGATGCGCGCTTCTCGTGCCATGTCTGCTGTCTTCTTCGTAAGATGCTCATTTAAATAAACAGCAGATCCCTTTAATTTCCTCCCTTGACGCAGTAGCTCAACTTTGTGCTTACGATTTTGCAAAGCGTAAAAGAATGACAGGGTTACTTACATCTTTCCTTGGGAGCATATGACAGGCTGCGAGATTTTTGGCATCTAGATGTATGTCCTTTTCCATCAGAAATGTCACAACCTGTGTCTCCAGTGATTGTTGGTCCTCTGTGTCAGCATCTTCACTGATGTTTCTCCCCCCGGCTGCCGCCTTGGCATAGGAGCGGGGTTTAACTCTCAGTCCGGTGATAATCACGTCGTCCATCCTCGTGTACTGTTCCAACTGATCAATCCTCTTTTCAAGCTCATTGATAGTTTTGTCAATGAGCTCATTGATAGTTTTGTCTATCTATTGATAGTTTTGTCTATTTTGTCAGCTCCTTCAGTTGTCTAACTTCTTCAAAAAGTCCCATTAGCTTTGCCAGCTGTTGAGTCACTTTGGGCAGCTCCTCAGACATATGGCTAAGCGACTTTCAAATGTCCTCCATCTCATTCTCCATCTCTACTTTGCTTGTTGCTCTCTTCGGTGGCATAGCCAAGTTTTACTGTGCTGTATCTTTTTGTTTGCTGGTTTGTTTAGCAAGAATTTCAGCTTTTGTTGATTGAAGTTACAGCAGTTCTACAGGGCGCCGCCATCTTGAATCTTGGGTTCTGTCTTGAATCCTGTCCTTCTGTCATCTGCTCTGTGCTCAGGGGCATCAGTTCTGCACAGTTCTGGACCTCTCCCACCAAAGTTATGGGACATGACGTGAGTTGATGCACTCGTATCTTACTGCACAAATAGTTCTGGACTTGAAACCTCAACTACTGAGGAGTTTGGGCCTGTAGCATGTCTCTGTGCAGATCACTGGCTTCAGAATATGGGTCTGGGTTTCCCTAGGTCTCCCCAAGGTTTCTCACTTTTTCCCACTGGGTTTTTTATCCTTGTCGATTCAGGAGGGTCTTGTTGGACAGTTAGTGTCCAACAGAAAGGATTGGTGATGATCAGGACACTTTAGCATTCTACAACATGTATGGACATTTTCTTCTGTGTGTGCTTTATATTGTTCATGTGTTTTAACTGTTGATTCTCTGACCTGTGTTGGTGATTTCAATGGTTTTGTTAAGTCCTCTGAGATGACTTCTGTTGTGACTTAGGGCCATACAAGAATAAATTGTAATGTCATTGTATTGTAATAACCCACAACATCTCCATAAGGAACAATGCCCTGTAGGATCCTGAGAAACCAGTGAGATCCGGAGCGGGGTCATTGCGGAGCCACAGTCCTTCTTTGGTTCTCCCAGTGGACAAAAAAGTCTGCGAGGAAATTAGCTAAACAAAAATTCATGAATCCACCACAATTATAACAAGAAAATGTGCATCAAATATGTTTTGACCAAACTGCTTCATTTTGGAAATCAACCCTTTTATTGATAAAGTCCGTATCATCATCTCCTCATTTTCATTCAGCGTTTATAGGTTTTTGTTCTTCAAAACAGTAAGCGACGCCCAGTACAAACAAACTAACACGGCACTTTTTCATCTTACTTCAGCGACAGCCTCTGGAGACATATCAAAGCAGCATCATTTCACTTATTGCTTTTGGTTCTCCCCTGTCTGTCTGCGTTTCGATTCAAAATCAAGTTTGTCAAAAGTTAATTCGAACGGAGCAATGCACAATATATGTCCCCGCTCCTTTCCCAGCAGCCACCTGTCTGGGGGGCTTTGATACGACACAGGTATTTGGGTGGGCGGCAAAGACGTGCTAATAGTATTAAAATATGGGGCTATGAATAATGGATATGTTTTGGAAAATGTATAATGTAAAGATGTGATTCCCGTTTCAGGAGGAGATGGGCGCCGTAGCTCGAGGCAGCCGCCGTTTCAAAGCACAATATGTTCACGCGCGTTCAAAGTGCCGTCGCCAACTGTCGCCTGCTACAATGCTCCTCTCCCACCGCCACAAAGTGAGGAGATAAATAAAAACGTGTCACTTATTATTTTTACCAAGAGCTAGATCTTTTGTGTTTGTTTTCAGAGACTGTGCTGGAAGAAGACTGAAGTTGAACCGTATAAAACAACCGGAAACTATGTAAAAAGGTAAAAAAATAAAAATAAGTGCTTGTAGAACAGGACCAGAGCCGACAGCAGGTTGTAAAGATAATGCCATCACTTTACCCAAGTTACTCAGTTTTGCTGCTTTTTTGGTTATAAGAAATGGTCACGCTTTTGATTTGACGAAATATTATTCTGAAATTTACAGGTTATATCCATAGTCTTAACCCTTTTCTGTTCACTCCTTGGAGAAAGTAATGTCATTTTTTTAGGAGCACAAACAAGATAAGATAATATAGTCCTTTATCGTCCACAGTGGGGAAATATCAATGTCAACGTTGCGCACATTACATCAGAATAAAAGGGGGAAATAAGAGCACTCACATTGCACACCTCAAACCGGATCTATTATTTAAGATAATAGATAATACCATTAAATAAAGTACTAAGTGCACTGTAAAAAAAACAACTCAAAATTGTTCACCTTACTAAGATTTTTACATTCACTGACAATAAAATTGCCAGTTGGAACTGCAACTGTCTGTTGTGAGCCACTTGAACTCACTTTCAGAAGTTTCTGATGAAAATATTATTATTATAATATGATATTAGAATTATATATATTATATTTTGTGAAGTTTTTGGGTCATTTCTATTAACATTTTTACTTTTTCAACAATAATATTTCAACACATTTCGAGTTGAATAGGTTTCATTTGCTGATGAGACATGGCTGAAGTATCTCGTCACATGGATGCCACTGTTTGCAGATTGGAGAAGACGTTTTCTCTTTTTATTTGCCCATTTTTTGATAAATGTTTATTAGTTTTCTGTATCGTCCAAATTCAAGACATCAGCTGTTGACTTTTTTTCTCTAGTATTAATTTTTTTAGATCAATATTTAGATTTAAAATGGAAGAAAATACTGTGCCTTAACAGTCTGTTTTTGACAATTTCTTTTTTTACAGATTTTCTTTTATTGATGCTTCTCATGTCATTCACTCGATACACTGTGGAGATAAACTACTGTAGCCACAGCTGCCCTGGGATACACTGACAGAAGTGAGGCAGCCAGTATGTGCCATCAGACCACCACCACCCATTTACACACACACCAGACTCACTCTGGGCAATATGGGTGAAGTATCTTGCCTAAGAACACAACAAAAGCTTGGAACCTTACAGCCTCATCCGCCCCACTGTAGCACCTGGTGTTTCCAGGGCCTGGTTATCAATACACTAACCAGGCCCTGCCCGGTGTAACGCCGAGATACACTGTCTTGAAGAGATGCACTGCCTCAGCTGTTTATGATGTAATGCAAACCTGCGCATGCGCGTCTCACGGCAGCCGGAGCATACCCAGATGGCGGACCGTGAATTGCTTTAAAAGTTAAAATACGAACGAATTAAGACACGAATGTCACTTTTAATGCAATTTGAGGCGAGATGTTGATGGTTCCGTTTTGTCACATGTGGGTTTTAAGAGTCAAAGTTTCGTGCAGAGTTTAGTTTAAGCAGTCAACTGCGCCTGTGAAACCACAAAACTAATATTTTCATAGCAGTCAGCGGCTGCTGACGTAGGCTGATGATGCGTCCTGTGGCCACTCTACAGCTTACAACTGGTCTGTCGGGTTGATAATGGAAATAATAAATTTAATTTAATGCATGTATCGTACTGTATTCAATATGATTAACAATAGTGCGTTCAAACGAAATATTTAATTAGATCGAGTTTTTCCCCATTTTCCATTATCAGTCAACATTATCATCAAGTCAACAGTGGACTACAATACAGACAGTATAGAATTCAGCCACATATGATTTAGCAAAATGATAACTAACTTACATTCCAATATCAAAGTCTGTCTCACATTTTCAGGAAAACTGTTCCAGATAACAAAAACCCATACGAATTGTAATACGTAAAACAGAGCATAAAACCTTATCTTATCATGTCAACGTGTGCAATGTTGACATGCACATGTTACATTTGGCTGCAATAAAATCACAAAGAAATCACATGTAGTGACAACGGCAGTGCAAAGTTTTCAGTCTTGTGCAGGTCGTCATTAGAACTCTTGGTCTTCATAACTTTATGCCTTTTTTGTTTCTATATGTTGTTTACTTACTGTATATGCCATTATTTTTAATAAAATAATTTTGTACATGGTGAGAAGTTCTACATTCAACCCATTTTCTACCAGAAAATATCAAGGGTAAGTTACCATAAAAACACACCGTTTCCTGTCAGAAGTTTGCAGTAACCTTCTTTGCTGTATTTTCATAGTTATAATCACCAGTTTTAGCAAAAGTCAGTAAAGCTAAGAACCATTTAAATTACTTTATTTTAATAAATCTAGTGAAAAACGAAAGATCTCAGAATTCCATTGGTTTGAGTCAAAACTGGGAGTTCTAGGTGCTAAAAGTCAAAGGCCAAAGGCAGTCTTGGCTCAGTAGTTCCCTGTTCTTTGCTGAAGTCACAACATTGCCCTAAATCCAATCAGCAGAGATTTGGGATTGTCCACTTGCTGCCACAAACAAGCACCATGTCACGAGATAATTACAATTATTACAAATGACACAACGGTGGGAATTTATAAATTTTTTCTTCCTCCCACTCCTTTTTTAGTTTGAAAAATATATAAAATCATGATAAGTAATTGTTAATTACTATTATCTGGGTTCAATTTCAACCTCCAGGGCTTTCTGTGTGGAGTTTGCATATTCTCCCTGTGTCTGCGTACATTTCCTCTGGGTGCTCCGGTTTTCCCAACCACTTAAAACCTGTACAATAGGTCTGGCATGTGAGAGACAAATGCATACAATTGTAAAGCGCTATGTGACTCTGGTCTGTGAAAGGCGCTATGTAAATAAATATCACTTACTTCTTTGTCGAAAAATGTTATGTGACGTGTGATGTTTCATGTACAAATAAAAACTCAAATCAAGAGTCATAATTCCTGTGCATTTAGAACATATAAAAAACATACGTGAGAAAACAGGCAGAGAGATCACACGGCCTAAATATACTCAAGTCAATATTGCGGACAGAAACTCGGGAATCCTTTTATGTGGGTGGATTATTGCGGGCGTTGAAATGAGTGACAGAGCTGAGGTGGCGTTGTCTCACCTCGTCGACACTCGGCGTGTTATGGTTTCCTTCACTCGTCAACTGTCCTCAGCTTCCCGTCGTCTTGCTGTGTTTGAAATGAACAGATTAACGTTGATTTATCATGCATCAGCCGAGTGAGGAGCCAAGCCGTGTGGAAGAGCAGCAATTAGAGGAAGATGGAATGATGGAAGGAGCCACCGATAGATCTACTACGACAAACTTTGAACAAGTGAAAATGGCGTTGCTCTGACTAGTTTGATAAATATCATTTATAACATGAGTGTTACGTGGCAAAAAAAAAACCAGAAGAATGACCCAAAAAGCAGGATGGCCAAAAATATAAGGTTTAATACACAAAAACTCAGAACTCAACTAAGTAAATACAGGGTTACAGAAGTCTAAACTCAAACCAAAGTGACAAAAACACACATGGGACACACAACCGATTAACAGGACAGACAGGAAGTAAAACTCACAGCAAGACTCACAACTCTAGTAGCGCTGAAGGACAACTAAAAACAGTGAAAAAAAAAACATCGTCATTCAATGTTCCTTTCTTTAAAGAGCTCTGACACGTACATAATATTACAAAGTTAATTGTTTAGCCCCGCTGCCTTCTTCATTATTGTCATTTTTTTAATTATATATATTATCTATAATTTTGTATTATTTTATTTAGATTTAATTTGAACTTCATTTAAAGTATCTAATAAAGTTTCTATTTTTATTTTCTCATGTTCTCTTATTTTTTGTTGATATTTGTGCTTGTCTGTGGAATATTTAATGATTAGTGTGTGTGGATAGGGAAGTCTGGGCGTCTCTGCTTAGACTGCTGCCCCCGCGACCCGGCAACGGATGAAGCGGAAGAAAATGGATGGATGGATGGATGTAGGACTGACAAAGAAAAAAAAAATATATATAAATCACAAAAACGGGGATCAATAAAGTTTCTATCTATCTATTAATCCATCAATCTATCTAAATGTGTTTCTATCTATCTAAATATATATATCCAAAAAAATCCTGATGAATGAACAGAAACCCACTCTCTCAAAAAACTGTAATAGTCACATTGATCCACCTAAAATCGGAAAATCTTCCTGAGAATGTAAGACGGAGACAGGCCTCTGTGCGTAAATCCAGCCTGTTCTGAAGTATTGCGTTTCAGTTTCGTCTCCGTTTATCATTTTATAATGTGCAGGAGGATTGAATCGTCACTATTTTAAGCACTTTGAGTTGCCTTATGTATGGACTGTGCAATACAAAAAAACTTGCCTCTGTGGACTGTCCCTTACAGTAAAATGTTAAAGTAAAGGAAATATGAAAACAAATGTATAGGCCCATATACAACATTGCGTAGGAATCGTTCCCTAACTCTCCACGCATTGATCACAGCAAAGAGTAATTAATCATTTCATTCATACAGAATATTTACATCTGTGTATTTTCTGACTGGCGCCTGTACGACACGCGCCCTCATGAACCCCATTGTAGTCTTTCTAGAGAAGTCTTGACCGACGCCGCACCATCTGTGTTTGAGCAGAATCGGAGAGAATGAGCGAGAGGTAAGTAAGTCCGTCCATCCATCCATCCATCCATCCATCTTCTTCTTCCCCTTAATCCATTTCTGGGTCGGGGGGGTGGCAGTCAGAGCTGCAGCCAGTTCACATAGCACCAGCCCCTCACTGATCCTCCTGCAGGTGGTGAGTCCACGGGAGGCATGATCTTTCAGTGGGGGCATCAGGCAAAGTGGGGTTAAGTGTCTTGCCCAAGGACACAACAACAGCAGTCATCAGTGGGAGTCGAGAAGTA